GATTTATATGTTTGACTTACTTTGACACAGTATGACCTTGTTTGTCATTGGCATGCGTTTCATTTACATTAACTTCTTTGTAGTATTGTATGTGCATATGTTCTATTATATAAATTTATATAAACATCTAGAAAATACAAAAAAGGAGTTTTCTCTTATTTAAACTTAGAACAAAAAGATTGGTAATGATGGGAAATGGTATTTAGAGGTGGAAGAAAAAAATCGATACAACATAGTATTGTGATATTTTGTCTGGTGATATATCGTATAGTCTCATTTACCAATTATCAATTTTTCAAATTAATTGCTAATATGAGGTCAAATCTATAATAATGGAAAAATAAAATCAACTGTTTGTCCAGTGAGGTTGGCAGAGGTGACATCAGAGAGCAGGAGAAAGTTAGTGCAACAAATATATATATAGGGTTTGCAAGATGTGCTACATGAAAATTAAATACAGCGTCAATAAGACAAACATAAAAGAAAGACAAATGCTAAATTAGCTAAACAGTTCAAAAAATTGCATAAATTACAATATATGGTATCGCAATTCTCACTGTATTGCAAAATTCTAAAAATCGCAATAATATCGTATTGTGGCCACTCATTTAAGATGAGGAGGGTAACTTTTTTTTTAATCACTCTTGTTCTCTTTTCAGTGAAATAAGTCCAGGTAATTTGAACAACAGTTTGTAAGATAAATGTTGACTTGCATAAGATTTTTACACACAATAGCCAAAAAGTCAAAAAGTATCCACATGAAAGATCAGTATGTTTTTTTCAGTCAACTCACTTGTGTTTCCATGTGTCTATTTCTGTGTGGTTATGTGTTTGTCTCAGTCATCTAGCCCAGAACCCATTTATTTGTGACTGCCATCTGAAGTGGCTTGCAGACTACCTGCAGGACAATCCCATCGAGACAAGCGGCGCCAGATGCACCAGCCCTCGACGGCTCGCCAACAAACGTATCGGACAAATCAAGAGCAAGAAGTTCCGCTGCTCAGGTAAAAAAACACGTACACTTTAGTTTCGGCCTGCAAGACAAATTATTTTATGATGAGACACATGAGTAACATATTGACCGTCCAGCTTTCCTGTGTGGTCATTCTGTGTTTTCCTGCTGGGATTTTCCCTCAGCCTTTCTTTACTAACCTCAACTTCCTTGTGTTTAGCATTTCCTGGCAACTCTTACTCTCATTGGACCAAATACACACATGCTTTTTCTCACTTTCTCTTGTTCACACACAAACACACACTCATACACACACAAAACCAGAGAGTATTTCAGGTCTTTGGTTCCTTTGGTTGTTTTTTTCACTCTCACTCTCTCTGTCTCTGTCTTTCCATTAGCTAGAGAACAGTATTTCATCCCAGGTATCGTACAATGAGCATGTGTGTGTTACAGCGTTTGTGTGCGTGTGTGTGTGTGTGTGTAAAGGCCACTGTCTGGTCAATCACAGCTGATGCCTCACCCTCGCACACTCTCCACACTTGGAGTGACTTGCCTTGACTGACACCTTTTGAATGCCGAGACATTCTGCTCTTAATGGTGTAACGCACATGATAATGCATCACGTCTAAGCGGGCGCTACACAATCACGCTTCTGTCCTTGCACTCGGGTTTTCCTACGGTATCCGTAACCTTGGCGATGGGGAGAAGAAAACTGTTGTGTTAATAAGCTCAGGCTGCTGTCAGCAAGGCTCTGCATGGGTAGACTGTTTAAATGAAAGTGTATTGGTGCAGCGATCACAGGGACTATATTTAATACTTGTCCTTCGCTTCTTAGCACATCCTCTGATAGCTAATGTATGAGCGTGTGTCCGCCAGCATCTGTGTGTTTCACCCACTGCAGAACATCAAAAGGTCACACAGTCACCATGCTCAGAGGGGCGCTGGGAAATATGTAAATCAGACATGCATATAAGATCAGTAACAGGGCTAAAGGCGGTCATTACCGCGACGGCACACACGAGAGACATGGTGTGTGTGTGTGTGTGTGTGTGAGTATGTGTGTGTGTGAGTACACGCTCACTGCAGTCATTAACTCACCGGGGGGACAGAGGTTTCAAAGCCCAGATACCACATACAGGGCAGAGCTGAATAATTTAGCAACATTTGCAGTTGAAAAGTTGAATAAACATGTTTTATTCTGAGGAACAACCTTGGTATTTTGGCTCAGCTCAATGCTTTAAAAATCCTCCGGCTTCATTTGCATCATGTCCCCTCCTTTGCTCCGTGTTATTTTGGATCTTATCTCGAGTTTTTGTGTGAATTGTGAGGACACCGATCCAAGTTTATCTCACCGGCCCACGAAGTTTGGACCTGCTAAAGGGATTACACACATGACGAAACTGTGACGCTCCGACTTCTAATCACTCATAGACTGTATATAGAGTGGACAGCGTCTGCCTCCTTGCTGGCTGAAGCCACCCAGAGAACAGCACCCTCTGGTGACGGGCTGCAGTATAGATCATAAATCCCGCCTCCTCCAGCAATCTCTATGGAGCTGTAGACAAACTTTAGAAATTAATTACACAGAATATAAATTTTTCTCCCCCCTGGTTGTGATGATGACAGGTAGTTATTCTAAGACTAGTTTGTGCTCAAGTCCTCTTTGTTCTGTGCAGCTCAATTTTAAAAAGTTATTAGGGGGTTCATGTTTTCTATAATTGACACTTGATACAGCCTATGGGCGTACCAAGATTGCATAGCTAACCCGGTGGATATGCTGTTTGCGAGCGTCAGTACAGCGACTCTCCCGCTGAATGTGTACAATGCTTTTGCACAAGTGGTGGAGTGCGTACAACGTTACTGCGCAATGTTGGCTTCAAGAAGTGGAGAAAAAATAAGGATTTACAAAGAGCTTTTCGGCTTCAAATCCATATACTGGCAGAAGGCGGAACCATATTGTCCATATTATATATAGACTATAGTCATAGGCCTCTTGAATCACCCACTTTATGTTCCCCTTGCAAATATTATTCATTAGATTATCTACAGAAAAGTTTAGGATGTTTGTGGCGTTAAAGATCCCTAACTGAACCATTAAAACTGTTCGATTGTGATAAATGATGTGTTTTTGTGTGTTACTCAAAGCTCAGAGCTTTTTGCCTTTAAACCCGTATACTGGCGGAAGGCGGAACCAAGTTGTCCATCGTATATACAGTCTATGGTTGCGCCTCAATCTCATGTGTGCGTTTTCCTGGGACGTGTGCTGGATGAAAGCACTCACCAAATGTCATGTTATGCCGGCACGATTTCACTCATTCACGACTCATTAACCCTTTAAATGAATCACTGCCTGGGGACTCTACACCAGAAATTGCAGCATATTTTTCTAAAATTTTCATTATTTTCTGCCCCTCCTGTTCAAATAAACGAGTGAAATCCCTTCTTCTTTCTCCTAATGCCTCTCTCACACACTCAGGAGTACACCATCATACAGGCTGTAAGTAACACACACCTGCACGCACACACACACACACACGGTTCGTTGCGAATTCCTCCCTTCTCCTCTCGTTCCCTGAGCCAGGCTCTGACCTTTGACCCCCTCTGTGACTTCTCGTGTTTGTCTACAAACGGCAAAAAAAACAGGACATTCAGAAGATTTATATTCCTTAATACAATGGATCATGTGTGTGTCTGGTGTGTGTGTGTGTGCGTGCGTGCGTGTGTGTGTGTACCCGTGTTTCTGCGTGTTTCTAGAAGTCCGGGCTTCTCTTGCTTTCAGTGCTGCTGTAACTCTCCTCCCACTCCTCTGTAACTGCTGCTCTGTTCTCCTCTGTTGTGTCTGTGAGTTTTAGAAACCTTTAGATGTTCCAGTCTCGCCCTCTCCTCCCCACCTCCCCCGCTTTTTTATTTTCTGTTCTTTCCAACCTGTCTGATCTTCTCCTCCTCCTCCTCTTCTTTTTCTTCTTTTTCTCTCTCTTTCCATTTTCCTTCACATCAACTCAAACATTTCCTTGAGTCAGTCTTTATCCTCTTATTCTTTATCAATCTTCTCTGTCTTTTCTTTATCCAACATCTACTTCCTCCCTCCAATCCTCCGGCTCTCCTCCTCTTTCCTCCCTCTTCTTTTGGATTCCTTTTTTTCTCTTCTCCTCCCCTTAACTCCTCTTTCCTCACCCCCCCTCCTTTAATCTTTAACTTCTTCTATTCTGTTCTTTCTTACTCTTTTCCTTCCCTCTCTTTCTTTCCTCTTTCCTCTTACTCCTCCTTCTCTGACCTCATTTTCTCTCACCCTCTTGCCCTGACATTTCTACTCCCGTCTTTCTCATCCTTTCCTCTTTTCTTCTCTCCGCTTTTTCTTTTTTGGACCCTTGTGTCAGCTCCTTCTCCTCTTTGTTTCTTTCCCTCCTGACTCCTTCTTACCTTATCTTCTCCTTCAGTTATTCACCTCTTCAGCTCCTCCTATCCTTGACTTTTTTCATTTTCTCACAGTCCGTCTCATTGTTGTCCGCTCCTTCGTCTTTTACTTCCTCCCAGTTTTTTCTTTCTTTACTTATTTCACCTCCTCCTTTTTCTTCTCCTCTATTCCTCTTTTATTCACCCTCTCTCTTTCTCATTTTGTCTCCTCTCTTCCTCGAGCTTTCTTATCCTCTCCTCTTTCCTTTTTTTCACTTCTTCTCCCCTCCCCACTAACATACTCCTGTATCTGTATCAGTTCTATTCCCCCTCTCCTTTCCTCCCCCTTATTTTCTATCCTCTCTTTCTTTCTCTCTAATCCTTGCCTCACTTTCCCCCTCCGTCCTCCTCTTCACCCCTCCAATCTCCTCTGCTCTCTCTTTCTCTCCCCCCTCTCTCTTCTTACCCCCTCATTTTCTCTCCTGTCTTACCCACTTCTCCTTTCTGTCGTCTCTTTTTCCTCCATTCTCCTCTTTCCCCTCTACTCTCTTTCCCGTCTTTATCCTCCTACACCTAATCCAGCCCTCCTCTTCCTCTTCCTCTCCCTCTTCCTCTTCCTCTTCCTCCCCCCTGTGTTCCAGCGGAGGAGCAGTCAGTCAGCAGGTTGTTCCTTTGTGCTTGATCTAACCATGTGGCTGCCAGGTTCCTATAGTGGAACATGGTTCTGTCAAGCACCATGGAACGGCCCTGCGAACCCTGCAGCATGGCCGAGACGCAAGAGACAGCAGTCACCTGTCAACCCCCAACCTCTGAGTGTGTGCGTGTCTGTGTTTGTGTGTGTGTGTGTGTGTGTACAGTATGATGGATGGCTGCCTGTGTGCGTGAGCGTTTTTGCGCTCCGGTCCAATATTCTGATGCTGTTTTGTTTGTGCTGCGGTTTCAAACACTAACAATCTCTTTGTTGGCTGACAGGACTGAAAACCTCCAAAATATTTCTTCTTCTTCTTATACGTGTGTGTGTGCGTCTGTTCTTCATCAGTTTGTGTGTGTTATGCACTTGGCGTCTCGCAGGTTGCGATACACATGAAGCATTTTGAAAAAAAGCTAAAAAGGAGGCGATGCATATGATCAAAATTATTGTTTTGTAGGATCGTGTTTGTTTGAGGTTTTAAAAAAAATCTACTCCAAACAAAAGCAGCACGGCCTCTTTCTCTGCACTTTCTCAGAATTCTTCCATTGTATCACATCCTGTACCTTTGCCATCTGCCTTTGTTTCTTATCAGAACTTCTGCCAGTAAACGCTGGGGTTTTTGCTCGTACACGATACACACGTTCGGTGACGTTTATTCTTTGATTGTGATCAGGTACGGAGGATTACCGCAGTAAGCTAGGAGGAGACTGCTTTGCCGATTTAGCCTGCCCCGAGAAGTGCCGCTGCGAGGGCACCACGGTCGACTGTTCCAACCAGAAACTCACCAAAATACCAGATCACATCCCTCAGTACACCGCTGAACTGTGAGTCACACTGTGCTACTACAAAGTGAGATGTGTGTGGTATAGAGGAAGCCTTGATCTCCTCCTCCACCTCCTCCTCTGTCTCCTCTGTTGTTCTTTTCTTCTCTGACCACCTCTTCTCCTCTCTGTTTCCAGGCGTCTGAACAACAATGAGTTCACTGTGCTCGAGGCGACAGGGATCTTCAAAAAGTTGCCTCAGCTGAGAAAGATGTGAGTCTGCTGTTATAACATAGCGGGAACAAAGCCTCACAAGTGGTTGTCAGGAAGTCATGCTAAGGTCACACAAAGAAAACCATGATTTATATATGTTGACAGAAAATAAAAATTAATTCTCTTTGCTTCTTTTTCTGTCTTCGCTCTCTTCCCTCTGGCTGCCTCCTCATATCTGTATCTATTTTCTCTCTTCTTTACTACAACTCCTTTTTTCCCCTCTCTTGCGTTTGCAGCAACTTGAGCAACAACCGCATCACTGACATCGAGGAGGGGACGTTTGAAGGAGCCTCGGGGGTCAATGAGCTGATCCTGACCTCCAACAGACTGGAGAACGTTCACCACCGCATGCTGAAGGGACTCTCAGGCCTCCGCACACTGTGGGTCCAACAAACACAGTCATTTGAATTCAAAGTCTAATCACATTATCATCGCAAATGTGTGTACAAAATTCAAATACGCTCTCGCATACTGTGACGGTGGACGGGCAAAGATTTAAAACATGAGCATGCATAATTCACAGGTTTATATTATCATAACTAAATCCTTTTTTTTTGTTGTTTCTCCAGTAAAATACACAGAAAATTCAATGTGTGCATCAATCTGTGTTTGTTTTTGTGTGCCCAGTATGCTGAGGAGTAACCGAATCAGCTGTGTGAGTAACAGCAGCTTCGTCGGGTTGAGCTCAGTGCGGCTCCTCTCACTCTACGACAACCAGATCACGTCCATGAACCCGGGCGCTTTCGACACACTGCACTCTCTGTCCACACTGTGAGTATACACACTACTCCGACACGTAAATGAAGTGTGCACACTTAAAGGTGGGGTACGCAGGATCTGAGGAAGTGCCAGTTTTTAGGAGAAATCTTGAATGTAAACATTACCCCTCCAAACCAGTATTACTCTCAGGTCTTCCTCTTCCCTCCCTCTCTGCCCCAGCAAGCCCCGCCCACAAACAGACGCTCCTGCTCGCTCGTGTCGTTTCAATTCTATTCAGATATAGTCAACGTGAAAGTAAAAAGCATTGGTGCTACTGTAGATGCCAACAGACTACCAACAAATACAAAGTTTGCAGGACTTCTACAACGAGGATAAAGTGACATAGTCCAGGACCCGAGGGAGGACAGTTTAGTGGTGCTACTACGCGCAGCAGGTCCCATTTGACAAGAAACTCTTCTGTTACAGACACTTGGCTTACTTTGTTAAAGCAGTTGACCTGTCCAGTAGAAAGGTTACAGGGTCCGTAAGATCCCGAAGCGTCCCCCATCGTTTATGCTTCATTGATGACCCGGCGTTTTAGCTTGTGTCCGGACTACCTCCTTTTTTAAGCGCCCGTTATTCCTCCAGAGTCTCCGGTATTTACTTTGTTTTCTTGCTTGTGTCGGCAGTCGTGGCCAAAGGAGGATTCAGACAGTTTACCGTACTGTCTGGTTGGTTTCTCCTGTCCGATATTGTAGCACGCTAACTTTGTTTGGGCTGGTGAACGACACGGGGGAGCAGTGTCTACCTCACAACCAATCAGCATGAGGGAGGCGGAGAATGGCGTTGTTTACAGTCAGGATGAGCGGGCTGCTCAAAAAATTTAAAATGTTGACTACACAGACATAACAAAACACGGTGATATCGTGATATTCCCGAATGTCATCAATAATTAATAGCCGTTGACTGATATTAAAAGCTTTTTTGTTTATACACCACAGAAAAAGAAGCTTCTTTAATGGACTCCTGTCTACCCCACCTTTAAATATCTGAAATAGATTAACCTTTGACTTTTAATTATGTTCTTCAGCAACCTCTTGGCCAATCCTTTCAACTGTAATTGTCACCTGGCTTGGCTTGGTGATTGGCTTAGAAGAAAGCGTATCGTCACCGGTAACCCTCGTTGTCAGAATCCTTATTTCCTGAAGGAGATCCCCATCCAGGATGTAGCCGTCCAGGACTTTGCATGCGAAGAGGGTGAGTAAACGCAGATTCACATGTTATCATGCATCCACGGGAGATTTTTCTTTCTTCTTTTCTTTCTGACTTTTCCGTTCCCCTTCCTCCCTATCGCTGTTTCTCGGTCAGGTAACGAGGAGAACAGCTGCTCTCCGGTGCTGAGGTGTCCTGCAGAGTGTTCCTGTCTGGACACTGTGGTGCGCTGCAGTAACAAGGGTCTCACTACTCTGCCTAAAGGTCTGCCCAAGGAGACCACTGAGCTGTGAGTAACACACAAAAACACATCATTTATCACAATCGAACAGTTTTAATGGATCGGTTTGGGATTTTTAACACTGGGCAGTGAAAACCACAAAGATCCAAAACTTTTCTGTAGATAATCTAATGAATAATATTTGCAAGGGCATCATAAAGTGGGTGATTCAAGGGGCCTATGATCATAGTCTATATATACTATGGACAACTTGGTTCTGCCTTCTGCCAGTATTCGGATTTGAAGCCGAAAAGCTCTCTGTAAATCCTTATTTTTTTCTCCACTTCCTGAAACCAACATTGTACAGTAGCTTTGTACGCATTCGGCAGGAGAGTCGCTGTGATGACGCTCAGCTCAAACAGCGTATCCCCCCTGGGTGAGCTACGCAATCGTCATACGCCCATAGGCTGTATCAGGTGTCAATCATAGAAAACATGAACCCCTCTAATAACTTTTAAAAATGGAGCTGTACAGAAAAAAGAGGACTTGAGCACAAACCAGTCTTATAATAACTACATGTCAACATCACAACCAGGGGGGAAAAATGTATATTCTGTGTAATTAATATCTAAAGTTTGTCCACAGCCCCATAGGAATTGCTGGAGGAGGCGGGATTTATGACCTATACTGCAACCCGTCACCAGAGGGTGCTGTTCTCGGGGTGGCTTCAGCCAGCAAGGAGGCAGACAGCATCCATTCTATATACAGTCTATGCCTATAGCTGACAAGGGCTGTAGATGATATAACAATATATTTTCCTTTTATTAAATTGTAAACCTACAACCATAAAAGAAAACTTTCATTGTACTTTACCAACCCAAACAACAGCTTAGAAATAGGAAACTACAACAAGCAGTTAAATTTCTATGATCGGTCGACAGTATAATGTTTCAGAGCACAATGCAATCTTAATAAATCCTAAATTTGAATCAAGATTTTACTCGCTGAAGCTACGCAGTTAGAAAAAGTGAAAAACTACACATCAGCGCAAAGAGAGAGGCAAAGGACACATACAAAAGCAGGTTGTCTGCATAAAGCGACAATTTGAGTTCAACATCAGCCCCAGAAACTCTGCAAAACAGAGGAAGAGATTTCAGCGCAATCGACAAAGGTTCAATGGCCAAGGCAAAAAGTAAAGGGGAAAGAGGACACCCCTGTCTGGTGCCACGCGATAACGAAATTCAAGATATAAATCTATCACCAAATCCAAATTTCTGAAGTGTCGCTAAAAGATAATTCTATTCCACTCGCTCGAAACTTTTTCGGCATCGTTTGAGAACACAACTTCAGGGAGTGGAGAGGAACTTTTGGAGAAAATCACACTCAAAGTGTGCAAATATTGTAAAATAGCTGACGTCCCTTGACAAAACCATTTTGTTCTTCTGATATGACAGTGGGAAGAATCTTCTCCAGTTTAATTGCTAAAACTTCGGCCAAAATTTTGACATCCACATTCAACAAGGACAAAGTTCTGTAAGAAGTGCGAAGTTCAGGGTCCTTGTCTCTTTTTAAGAGAAGGGATACGGCACCTGAGTTAAAGTTGGAGGCAATGAACGGCGCTGAAAAGACTATGATCGGTCCACCTTTTTATGTTTCACAGCACAATACAATCTTAATAAATCCTAAATTTGAATAATGATTTTACTCGCTGAAGCTACTAAGTCAGAAAAAGTGAAAAACTACACATCAGCGCAGCCACAGAGAGAGGCAAAGAGTTTTATTGCAGAAACTCAACCCAGTATACACACACCAGTCCCCACACACAAAATCCCTCATGATCTCAAAATAATAGTTCTAAATTAAACAGAAGACAGCAGGCCTGGTGGTTTTTTCATATTT